ATTACTGGTTGCAATGAAAGACAACATGTTCTAAGTTGTAACATCACATCCAGTACCACCTATTTCTTAGTCATATGCCTCCACTCTCTAGTGCCTATGAACACTGTGGTAACCTCATGAAAATGAGCTTGTCAAAGCATTTGAAAGTGAAAGCTGGACTGAACAAGTCAAAGTGTTTGCTTCTGGTACTTCCTTTGAAAATTAGTTTTGGCTTAGAATAGCCTCAACACTATTTGTTTTGTCAGTACTGCTCTCCAACAAATTGGAAAAAAAAATAAAATAACAATGGATAATTTTTAGATAGGGACAATTTACCAAAGTTAAATCAAGATAAGATAAACAAAGTAGATAGACATGAAACCCATAGTGAAATAGAAGCAGTACTCTTGTCAGTATTTGTCAGTACTCTTCCTGTCTCAGTTGGGGCTTATATTGCTGTGATAAAGACTACAACTAAAAGCACCTTGGGAATGAAAGGATTTGTTTCAGCTTACACTTTTGTAGCATTTCATGCAGGAGAGTTAGGTCAGGGACCCAAGGCAGGAATATAGAAACAGGAACTGAATTGCAGGTCATGGGGTAGTGGTGCTTACTGCCTTGCCCCTCCTAATTTCTAATGAGACCAGGAGCACCAACTCAGGAGTGGCTATGAGCACAGTGATCTGGGCTCTCTCGCATCAGTAATCAAGAAAATTAACCACAGACTTGTCCACGGGCCATTCCAATAGGGGTATTTTCTCGTTTGTATTTCTTTATGTCAAAACGACTCTAGCTTGTGTCAAGTTCCTTAGAAACTTCCTTAGAAAGCCTCCCCTAGTTTAAATCTGAACACAGCAATATGCTTAGAAGGCCAAATCTTAGACTCTGTTTTACCACTACATGAGGTATGAGATTTCATCCCCTAGTCTTTGTGAGATTTGCATCAACTGGCATCAGAGACTTGGAAAAATCTGTTCTATAGCCAGAAAGGCATTTCCTTGGTTGAGTCATTGTGGGAAGTTATTTACTTCTGCATGGCATATCTATTTTCAATATTATGTGATTCTAAGAATGCACAGTTTAGTATGTGTACACTCAGTACTATCTAATATGCCCTTCATAGGGCTTGATAGGGAAAACTTTCCCAAGCTTAAAATGGAATCTTCTTGTTGCACTTATTAGATCTTACTAAGAGGTTAATATTAGATTCAGCCTCACCACTCTCAGAGTTATAAAAGTGCATTTCTGAGTGCCTAAGACCACTATCATTGCTAGGTGAAAATAAAGCCTAATACAGAGTTTGAAAAAGCAAAGTGTTCTGAAGCCAGTTAATGAGTTTCCCCCTCTTATCACCAAGAAAGGAAGTTTCTCCTGCACCATACATATATCCTTAATACCATCTGATATTTCAACACGCTTTCATCAGTAAAATCTACTTATTGTTTACTAGGGTACATGCCTGTTCTAAAACCCAACAACGATTCTCAGACGCCTAGTCTGGCATCTTAGTTATGGTTTATATTGTTGTGATAAAACACCACAACCAAAGTAACTTGGGGAAGAAAGGGTTCATTTCATCTTGAAATTTGTAGTTCATCATTTCAGGAAGTCAGGGAATGAACCTGGAGGGAGGAATTATGCAGAAGCCATAGGGGAATGCTTCCCTACTGACTTTGCTCCTCATGACATCTAACCCTGATTTCTTATTGTATCAGGACTACCAGCATAGGGATCTCACCATCCACAGTGAGCTGGGCTCAACAATCAACAATCAACCAAGAAAATACACCACAGCCTTGAATTTTCTCAATTAAAGTTTCCTGTTTCAAAATGACTCTCTGTTGGGTCAAATTGACATAAAACTAGCCGATTTATTTTACACCTTGTCAGTGACATGTGCAGAGACATCAGTGCAACTGGATCCTTTCCTTTCTCCTTGTCCCAGGTTGCCTTTGGCCATGGTATCTTCTTGGAGCATAAGGAACCCTCACTCATATATCTGTTACACTCAAAAAGAGAAGGCACTGAGAGATGCCGCTTTTTAAAATAAGTTATTTTTATTTTATGTGCCTTGGTGTTTTGCCATGGGTATCAGGTGCCCTGGCACTGGAGTTACAGACAGTTGTCATATTGGGTGCCACCACTGTCAGAGAGAGTGGTTTCTGTTCATTAGGCATGCTTACGCTGATCAGGTTATTTAAAGAATCAGGTGATCTGAGCTAGTGAACGCGTTTTCTTTCTCTTTTCTCTTTTCCTTTTTATTCTTTGGGAGGTTTGTTTTTGCTGTTTTGTAACATGAAATAATATCCATGAAGTAATATTCATGGACGTGGCATCATGACGCCTATGGGCTTATAGAATACACATGTTGGTTTTTACTAGTAAAGTCACTGTTAGGTTAATTGAGTTTAAAAATAAATACAACCTCTTTCTTTTTCGTTAGCAGTTTTAATCTTACCACCTAGAGTAGTTTACCATATCTGTGGCTTCTGAATGTGAGCGAGAACAAAAGTGCTTGGTGGCTCCTGTGCTGAAACATAGAGAACACAATGCTTGCATTTCTCTTCCTTTATTGTAGCGGAAGGAATGTGAATTTTAGAGAAGGAATGTGAATTTTAGATTTGACCATAACTTTGATCCAATCCTGGCTATTTGGTATGTGTACACAATTGACTTTTATCTGTCCATAAAGGAAACTGAAATTTGCAGGAAAAAAAAATATATCTGGGAAAGAAAAGTATATTATGTGAGATAACCCTGACTCAGAAAAACAAACAATGCCTGTTCTCTCTCATATGCATATCTGAGCCACTTTTTGTAGATGTGTATTAATGTGAAAGTGAGCATGTGTAGAGGCCAGGAAACTAGGAAGGGGCCAAAGCTTTAAGGGAGGGAGGTGGGAGGTTAATAGAATACTTGTGGGAATGGGTTACTAGGATCAGCAGAGGAGGGGCAAAATGGTGAGTCAGCCAAAACTGAGAGTTTATGATAATGCCACAAGGAAAACGTCTACTTCATAATATAATAACAATAAAGCAAGTAAGCATGAGAAAAGTTAGGAAAGTAGTTATGAATGCTGATGAACATTCATTTCAGCTTCCATTATTTCCCTTTTACCCAGTGTTTGTTTCAGGTTTACAAAGCCTCTTTGTAATAGAACTTTTAAGGAGATTTTTGTAAAGCTGTGTCTTACAATGTTATGAGCCATACTTATGACAGGAAAGTCTCCTCCCTCATGACTCCTGCTCTTAACACTATAATAAAATAAAGCCTTTCAATCAAAAAGGCCGCCAATAACTAACTCCTCTTCATAGGCGACTCTTGAATAAACTTGGATGCATTCTATCACCCACTTCCAAATGAAGCAAATCCCCTTTGGCCTGCACTATCTGCTTGTTCTGTCATTGTCGTAGTTTATAAAAGCTATTGATTCAGGCTTTCTTTCTCATGGTTCAGTTTCCCTCATTCTTTGAGTTAATGGCAAATCCATAATCCCATTTTAAATATTCTCTGGGTCATGAAAAAATCATCTAATTTATATCAATTTAGCATCTTAACTACAATGCAGAGAACGCTTTGGTATACCAAGATACCAGCTCTGGTTCAGGCAGAAGTTACTGTATCACCTGCTTACTTTTTCTTGTGAGTCTAATTCTCCTTGACAAGAATCCTCACAGATGTCTTAGGCAATAACTGATGTCCAAAGGGGGGGGGGGATAAACTAATGGGAGATGGGGCTTAAGTGCATAATCTGGTATATGAAATCACCTTTATAACAGTGAAATTGCTCTTAACTTTGATAAATAATTGCAATCCCTCTCTACAACTGAATTCCAGGAGTACGGCTCAGTGGTTAACTGTGCCTGCTTCTGCTTCCACCAGCTACTAGATGAAGACTAGAATGGTGATTAAAGTGGTAATTAATCTCATTATAGGGGAAGGGCATCAGAGGCAGCCTCTCCACTACTGCCAAGATTTTTAGTTGGGATCATATCTGTGGATCTCTGAATATTTCCCTAGAGCCAGATTTCTCTTTAAACCCATAATGTCTCCCTCTATTAAGGTATCTCTTTTCTTGGTCTCCTCTATTCTTCCCCAACCCAATCTTCCTGCTTCCTCATTTCCTCTTCTCCCCTCCTCCCCTTCTGTTTCCCCTAACTCCATCTCCCCTCCTCCCATGCTCCCAACTTGCTCAGGAGATCTTGTCCCTTTCCCTTTCTCCAAGGGACCATGTGTGTCTCTCTTAGGGTCCTGAGAAAGAGGTATTAAAAAAAAGTACTAGAAAGAAATATTTAAAGATAAGAATGTTGTTGAAGTCAGGACAAGGAGTAAATTTAGAACAGTGCCTTTCAATACATGTTCACTAAAGATAATGCACTTCTCATTGAATAGCCTGCTTTTTAAATTAATCGACTATTTTACAGATGGAGAGAGAGAGTGTGCATAAGAGAGAGACAGAGAGAGAGAGAGAGTGAGAGAGAACACATATTCTTAACCTTATTTGAGACCTTCCTTCTTATCATCAATACTCTATGTTTTACTGTGGGTATAGGGTCTGATTTTAATTGTATAAAAGTTATACAATAATGCATATTTGAGGCCATTGCAGGGAAATGGACATATTGTCCAGCCTTATGCATTGTGACAAAGGACACTGAACTTACAGAAAAGAGCTCTAAGCTATGTACAATGCTTCACCAGTCTGTTTTGCTCTGAATGTTAATACATGGAAAATGTTGCTTGCATGATGAATGTGGGGCTAGAAACCTGGACATGTGTGCTGAGTGATCAGTGGTAAGGGTGAATGGCCACATGTGCTTAGTGATCAGGGGTGAATGGCTTCTTTGCACTCATACCACAGTTCACACATTTATCTGCTGTGAAGAGAAATTGCTCAGTTGACAGGTTGCTTTCGTGAACAGAGCATTTAGAGATAAAAGATGTTGACATAGACAGCCATATTTCTCATCTGTTTGTCAGCTATAATGGTAGATCCACAGTTTCAAGCTTGAAATCATCGCCTGCTTTGGCAGAATATATGCTAAAATTGGAACAATACAGACAATATTAGCATGGTCCTGGTGTAAGGACGACATACAAACACATTAAAAATATCTTGATATTACAGTAAGGGAAGCAACTGAGTTGGTAATGCTCTTGCCACATAAGTATGGTGATCTGGATTAGTTCTGCAGAACTCACATAAAGCTAGACATGGGGCCATAGAGTGGTTTGATTCAAGGTTTGATTCCCAGCATTCCCATGTTGGCTAACAGCAAACTGCAACTCCACACTGTGCACAGAAAAACGTTCAGGCTAAACACCTCATATACATAAACTAAAAATAAATCCTTAAAAACAAAAAGCTAGATAAAGTAGTTTGCCTGTAATCCTAGCACTGAACCCCAGTTCAGAGACACTTTCTCCACATACAAAGTAGACAGAAAATGTTTTTGTTTGTTTGTTTGTTTGTTTGTTTTGGGTTTTTTGTTTGTTTTTTTCAATTTGAAGAGCAACTGAATGAGAAGCCTGAGATTGATCTCCAGCCTCCATGTCTACACAGCCTCCCATCCACAGAAATAAAAAAATAATAGAACTTGAAGTTAGATACATAATCTTAATGAATATGTCTGTCTTCATGCTTGAGTGGCAACTTCATTACGAACCTAACTATTCAAGGAGAACACCAAAACAGCTTGTAGAGGAGCTTGAACAATAGCGCAGAAAATCAAACATGTTGCTGCTTTTTTTCCAGAGGACCTGTGTTCGGTTCACAGCACCCATGCCATATAACATACAACCACCTGTAACCACTACTTCAGAGGACCCAACAGCCTTCATGGCCTCTGGGATCAACTGCACTAACATATGTATACCTGCATATACATAATTAAAAATAAGTTTACAAAAAATTCTTGAAGATTATAAGCACCAACCAACTATTTAATAATGCATTACTATGCAATGGCATTAAGGTATTAACCAAATTTGGTTTTACTAGCAAACACATTTCCCCCCCCCCAAAAAAAAGGTGTTTCTTCCTTTTAGAAAGATTGTTCAAAGGACATCATCTGGGTATTGTGTCTAAGCACAACAACATGTAGTTAGGCAAGCTTGAGAAGGTCATTCATTCTTGTATCTTGGAAAAGAAGGTGTGCTTAAAGTATTGATATAATTAACCCTATGCCATGGAGAGTATCTAAGAGTCCGATTGTAAAATATATTTCAGGGTAGTGTCAGTATCAGCAACACAGACAGGCTGCATCCAAAGGAAATTTTCACCTCAGTTAGGAATACCCTAACTCAAAAAATAAATAAATAAGTTTAAATCAATGGACATGAATTTACAGAGAAAGTGAATTTAATTTGCATGACATATAGGCTAGGCAATGTGAGGTAGAGGCTGGTGGGGCAGAAGGACATACAGAAATTGAAACATGGAAATTCTTGAGCATCAGAGAGAAGCAGGAAGCTGATACAGGGGAGAGACCGTTAGGAAAGAGAATTAGTAAAACCTACAGAATAGACAAGTTTAAGGAGGCTCTGCCTGGGGCACATTTCAGCCAAATATTCGGGGCCAGTGGATTAGCCTGTTTCAAAAAACAAGAAAATATAGATGGAGCCTATATTGACCTCAGTTTCTAAAGTGTCAATCACACACATGCATTCACACACACACATACACTCTCTCTCTCTCTCTCCTATTCACACACACACACATTCTCTTTCCCTCCCCAACACCACACACATGCACACACACACACACTCACACACAGAGAGAGAGACAGAGAGAGAGAGAGAGAGAGAGAGAGAGAGAGAGAGAGAGAGAGAACTCAGGATAGGCAGAATGGATAATAAGATGTGTTTACAGGGTTTAAATGGCACAAAACACAATAAACACCTTAACTGGAATATTTTATGTCTTTTCTTTCCCCTAATAGCCAATCTTTAGTGTGCGTTAAGATCAATACTTTTCTGAAAACAATGATTGATTGCTTTATTCTTTTTTATTTCAGATTTTCCATTACTCATTTACTGCCTCATACTTGATTTACAACATACACACTGGGTAAGTCCTTTGCTTCTCTGCGTTTCATGAGCCACTGTCAGGCTCAGTTGCCACAGATGCCAGTTTGTTCACGAGAAAATATTTACGTCTTTTCAAGGGAAGTGTGGGAGTTGAATCCTCCAGAAGTCGAGGACTCGGTGTTGCAGTATGCGGCCTGGGGTGTGCAGGGACAGCAGCTGGTAAGCATGCTCTGCCCAGCCCATGTCCAGTAAGGCTAAATGAAAAGTCCTTGTAGAACTCATATGCGGTTTATCCTGCAGCCCTTGCCATTTCTCATTGGTCCTCTGCATTGGTCATCTTAAATAAATACGTCTTTATTTAAAATATCTGTTCCTAAATGCTTTCGTAACAGTATGTCAAATGAAGAATGGGAGGCAGCTCTGTAGGTAAAGCCTAATAGCATGAGAACTTCAGTCTTCACTCCAGGACCTACTAAACTGCTAGGTGTGATGGACCTATTAAACTGCTAGGTGTGATGGTGTGTGCTTGGAAGCCCAGGCCTGGAGAGACACACAGGTGGATCTCTGGAGCTTCTTAGCCAGGCAGTATGGTCCTCTCAGTCAGTTCCACCCACTATAAAATAGGTTGTCTCAAAAAAAGGTGACAGGAAATGACATCCGAATTTGACCCCTGGCTTACCACCCCCCCACACACACACACACTGAAAGGATATATCAAATGACACTAGTAGTTCTTGCTATTTGACCAATTTCAAAAGTGTTTATCTAACAGGTACGAGATGGTCAAACCCACAATGAATAACAAAAACAGAAAAAAATTCTAGCATATTAAGTCTTACTTCCAGACAGTTCTCACTCCCAAGTGTTGCCAGCTAATTTGCAAAAATAATAATGAAATTCTTTATTACCATAGTATTGAGGGCAAAGTATTTGACAATCATTTGTGTATTTATACACTTACTTTGCTGTTGATTTTTGTGTGGTTGATTGGTTTTTGAGAAAAGGTCTCTTGTGCAGTATGGCCTTTAACTACCTATGTACACAAGGATGACCTTGAACATCTGAACCTCCTGCCATCCCCTCTTACTGCTGGGACTGCAGGCCTGTACTACAACCAGTGGTTTCGGGGTGCTGGGAAACAAATGCAGGGCATAACAAGCAAGTGTGAGCCAACTGAGCCTCAGCACCAGCCCTTACTGCCACTTTAATTTAAAAGCTGTTTATGATATGTGTGTGTGGGTACACATGCACGCCTGTGCCATTATACTTGTGTGCAAAGGTTAGAAAATAGCCCGTGCAGCTCAGTTCTCTCCTTCCAACATGTGAGTTCCAGGAACTTTCTGCAGATCATCAGGTTTGGAGGTAACCACCTTCCTGCAGTAACCTCCAGGCGCAATCATGTTCATGCTCTATTTTTATTTTCTAAGACAAGCATAGAAAACTCTAGTTCTCTAAATTCTATTTAATCCTTAACAGGTACACTTGGTAATAACATTTGTGTAAGATGTAATTTCACTTTCCATTGTGAAGTCTCTTTTTAGGTGGATTAAGTTAATAGTTATTTTTTACTCACGGTGATAAAGAATTGGTGTTAACACTTACATAATTTAGAAGATTGTGTATACATTAAACGTGACCTGACCTTTATGCCTCATGTGTTTAATATACATTTTGATGAATGTGTTATAGGGAGAATTGTGTAGATTTCCCCAGTGGTGGATACATTTCCTTACTGAGCCTGTTAGAACAATCTCAATAATTATGCCTCTTTTCATATTTACTTGCTACTGATGTTGTGTGTGTGATGTCTTTCTTTGGGGTACTGTCCATTTTACATGACAGAACTGAACTATGCTTCAGGAGCAAAGGGATTTTAAGATGATTATTATATCTCTAAAATGTGAAATTGAAATCATGATTATGTAATCAACATGTATTTATCTTATTTATAGGCCTAAGCCTAACCTTTAAAAAGTATTTTAATTGAGTTTAGAAACATCTAAATGTTTTAAAAATCAAAATTGATAGTTCAGCATTAGCCAGATGGACTGAAGTATGCTTCTCATTTTCTATGCTCCTCCATTTCCTCTTTAATAAAATGAAAACATCTACACCATCACATTATAACAAAAGTTTGAATACTACTACCATTTCTTTCAATATAACACCCCATGTAGTCTTTATAAATAATTCCATATTCCATTACTCCATTTATAAAACCAAGAGGTCATGTCTAATCCTGCTAGGCAAAAAAAAAAAAAAAAAAAAAAACCACAATGAAATGGCATTAACAAATAGGCTATAGGAAAAATCATGACATAGTCTTGAAGCGAGTAAGCATGAGATGAGTGAGTATGGCAGAGGCAGGTCATTTGACCTTGGCCAAGTCATCACTTTCACCATTGCAAAAACGAAGACATTTAGCCTTGCCCTCAAGCCTCCGTCATTTAGACATTACATTATTTGAACTATACTTTAATAGATTTATTTTTGGAATCATGAGGATAGTGAGGTAGGAGTGAGGCAGGTTGGAAGAAATGCGAGGAGCCCACTCTGTCCGTCCCAGTTTTACGATCACAGCATGACACTCAGCAATATTTGAGTGCCATCTGTTTAGAACTGTGCCGTGATACATAATCAATATTACTGGCAAGTAAACTTTAGTGGTAACTTGGTGGATGCATTTATTCCCTGAAATGGAAACTGAGAGTTAAATGTAATGTTTGAGTCACCCGCTTAAAATGGAGAGTGAATCTACTATTTTCTATGTTTTTAGTGTAGTTTTATGGATCGATGTGAGAGCTAGATTGAACAAATAAAAGGTTTACTTTAAAATATTGAGAAGAGCATATTTGAGTATAATAGTCACTCAATTGTATCTCACAAATAAATCCTCCAAAATATTCTGAATTCACTATATTTCTACTTTAAATAGATGATTAGGTTGTTTTTTTTTTTTTTAACTTTTATTAATTCTTTGTGGGTCTCACATCATGCAGCTGGATCTCACTCATCTTCCCATCTCTACCCCTCTGCCTTCTGCCCTTATGACATCTACCCAAAACAAAACAAGATTTAAAAGTATAGTAAAAAAA